CTCCTGGTGTCCCCAGGACCCTCCTGGTGTCCCCAGGGTGGCCCAGGGCACACTGGGGTGTCCCCAAGGTGATCCCGAGTTTCTGATCGTGTGTATATTTATTTTGGGATGGTTTTTTGACTTTTATTTTTCTTCCCCTTTCCCTTTTCCTTTTGGAATTGTACCTATATTTCACTCCTATATAACTGCAATATAAGTGTAAATATATTTATATATATTGCTTTAACTGCCTCTCTCTCTTGTTTCGGTTCTCTTGTTGTTTTTTTTCTTTTCCCGCTGTTTTAGAAAAACATCTTTGCTGTTTTAGAAGAACATCTTTGCTGTTTTAAAGAACATCTTTGCTGTTTTAGAAGGACATCTTTGTTGTTTTAGAAGGACATCTTTGCTGTTTCAGACCATCTTTGCTGTTTTAAAGACTATCTTTGCTGTTTCAGACCATCTTTGCTGTTTTAGAACATCTTTGCTGTTTTAGAACATCTTTGCTGTTTCTTACCACGTCCATGCTGTAGGAAATGGGTTTGGACCAGGGCAAAAGCCAGAGGGTGGAAAAACCCAGGATTGGACAAAGAGTGTTTATATAAATTGTGCCACCTGAGGCAGAGGGTTGTGGGTGGTTTGTAGCTTCTGTGCCTTGGAGGCGCCATTAAATCCTTTAATTTAATTTAATTTAATCGGTGAGTTTAATTTATTTTAATTTAATTTAAATTAAATTTATTTTAATTTAAATTTATTTTATTAAATTAAATTAATTTATTTTAAATTTAATTTATTAAATTACATTTTTTATTAACTTAGGTAATTAAATTTAATTTATTAAACTAATTTCATTTTATTTTATTTTCTTAAATTTAATTAATTAATTTAATTTAATTTAATTTAAATTTAATTTATTAAATTAAATTAATTTAAACTTAAACAAGTAACTTTACTCAACTCCCAGGTGGTGGCTTTGGTTCTGTTGTCACAGGCACAGCAGTGATGTCAAAGGGACAGCAGTGACATCAGAGAGACAGCAGTGACATCACAGGGACATCGGTGACATCACAGGGAGAGCAGTGACATCACAGACACAGTGGTGACATCACAGAGACAGCGGTGACATCACAGGGACAGTGACATCACAGTGGAAGCACCGCGATCAGCGGCTGCCGCGGGAGCGGGGGGCGATCTCCCTGGGCCTGTGCCCGCCCTGGGCAGCCCCCACTGCCCCCGCAGGGGTCCCGGGGTCAAGGCAAAGGGGGGCTCCCAAAGCCCCTGCCAGGGGGGAGCGGGAGCTGGGGCAGGAGCTCCGTGGGGAGAGAAAAGGGGGTGACAGCAGGATGGGGGTCCCGGGGAGGCACACACGCTCCGGGGGGGACACACGACCCCCGGGGACCCCCCTCAGCTCCTCCCGCAGGCGGAGGCCGAGCCCCAGCCCAGGCAGACGAAGCCAAAGACGGAGCCCCGACCCCCGTCAGCATCTTGGGGGGGCGGCGTCCGGCGACAGCTCTGGGGGGGCGGGGGGGGCAGGACCCAGGAAACGGTGGCGGCTGCTGGGAAGGGACTGGGACGGACTGGGATGGACTGGGATGGACTGGGATGGATGGGGACGGACTGGGACAAACTGGGACGGACTGGGATGGACTGGGACAGACTGGGACACCAGGATCACCAGGACCAGGACCCAGCAGGACCCCCCAGGAGCAGGATCTGAGCACACTGGGACCCTCCAGGACCAGAATTGGGGCAACTGGGATCATACCGGGAACGTGTTGGGACCACACCGAGGCCTACTGGGAGCAACTGGGAGCATGCTGGAGGCCACATGGGACATACTCGGATATACTGGGAGTGACTGGGATCCTACTGGCAGAAACTGGAACCTCACTGGGGCAACTGGATGTGCCTGGGAATGACTATGAGCCTGCTGTGGGCTCTACTGGGCTATACTGGGAGTGTCTGTAACCATAGTGGGGGTGACTGGGACCACACTGGGAGCAACTGGGATCATGTGGGGGGGAACTGGGACCATACTGGGGATGACTGGAAGTGGCTGTGAGTAACTAGGTTCATGCTGGAAGTATTGGGATAAACTGGGAATGAGTGGGACTCACTGGGGGAAACTGGGAGAGGCTGGGGCTAACAGGGATCATGCTGGGACTGAGTGGGAGCATGCTGGGGGTGACTG